TGATTCTGCTCTTATTAATGCTTCAAAACAATGAAAGAACACAGATTTCAGGTATGTTTGTATCTGCTGTCTGATTAAGCAGCATGTTCTCTTTGGAATCAGAAATCCTTTGGTATCAACAGCCTGTCTCATGGTAAAAGTTGGAGGAGAGTAGGTGGAAAGCTTTCAGGCATAAGTGGAGGCTTTTCATTGACTGACTGGCAATTTAGGATTTACCAGAGCTATTTATATGGTTGCCATGGGATCCCACTCCAAGTACAAGCAGGTGACGCGTGAACTGACGCAAGCACACCTCAGTGATGTGTCTGTAAAAGACACGGAGCGGCCGAAGTGACCACTAGAATCTCCCTGCCTGTAATTATTCAGCCATGGTGATGAGTGGACATCCAGACCGCGGACTCTGGAACCCATTATCAACACAGCGTGGGAAGAAGCAGTGCATTATGGGACCGTGCCATGTTGGTGTATGTGTGTAGGGGTGGTTGCCATAGCAGCCCCTGTATCTTGTTATCTCATGACAAGCAAGTCCTTCAGTCTGTCTGACTGAACTGAGCGGTCAGCTGGGTGTTAATGGTACCTTTTGGGTCCATTTAGACTTCATGAATCATGGTTAGTGGTTTGGGCCGATGGTGGCACAGGAGTGCTCGCCCCGTAATCGGAAGTTGCAGGTGGTGGTCGGAGGGACCGGTGGTGCCTGTGTACGGCAGGCTCGCCTCTGTCAGTGCACCCCAGGGCAGCTGTGGCTACATCACCACCAGAGTGTGAATGTGTGTGAATAAGTGAATAGCTGACTGTGTTGTAAAGCACCTTGGGGGGATTCTAGGACTCTAGAAGGCGCTATATCAAATACATGCCATTTTACCATGGTTCTTTAGTATAGTTATCTCTCTAGGGCCAGGGTGCCCAATCCTGGTCCTCGAGATCCCCTATCCAGCATGTTAGAGGTTTTCCTGTTTCAACACACCTGACTTGAATCAGTGGTGATTAGCAGTGTTCTGCAGTGCCTGAGTAGCTGCTGAAGAGAAGCTGATTTAGCCACAGAATCAGCAGGGTGAGATATAAAACAAGCTGATAGGGGATCATGAGGACAGGATTGGGCACCCTTGTCTGACTAGACCGATTTTTGTTAAGTAATGTAAAACTAAAATTCCTCTTCACTGAAACTGTATCAGCCTGCCAAAAATGGTTTAAAAATATATTTGTTTGTTTTTTGCCTTAGCTTTCTTAAAGATGCTAAGTCAACCTCTGGCGAAACAAAGCTCTGGTGAGTCTACTTCAGCAGGGAGAACTCAGCCAGAGGCGAAAGTAGCTTCAGGCAACAGGATTTGGAGTCTTAATTCGTGATATTTGGACATCTTGATTGGCTAACAGCAGTCTAACTCTACCACTGACTGTTTGCTCTGCAACGTTGATGTTTTGTCTCTTCTGCCTTGTGGTGGAGTTGCTAATGTTAGCGGTTTGAGACGTTCTCTGCTGTTTCCTGGACACTAAACCAGCAACTGCCCCGTCCTGAGTCAAAACGAGTGAGTCCATGAATGTTTGTGACAGTGTGACGCAGGTCTGTCATAGTCCTAGAGTTTCACCATCTTTTTCTATCAGAAGCTAATGCAGGTGATAGGTGTAGGAGACTATTTTCATGTTCAGCCTACATGATGAACTCAGAGGGACAGATCATTTTCAAAAATAGTTAAGAAATGGTTTCTCAGTGAAGAACCTCTTTAACTCCAGAATGATGTGAAGCATCAGATGAATTGTAATTATTTTCTCTTTGACACAAAAATGATAAATGACCCTCACTTGTATAGCACCTTTCTGAGTCAGAGGACTCCAAAGTGCTTTACACTACAGTGCATCATTCATCCATTCACAAACACATTCACACCCTTGTGGCCATTGTAGCCACAGCTGCCTTGGGGCACACCGACAATTACAAAGGTAATTCCAAAAACGTCATTCCATGCATTTGGGAAGAAGGATTCAGGTCACCCAAGAACCTTTATCCTAGCCTGGCCTGCCAGACTCCTCTTCTGTTTAATTCTGCACAGAGAAAGAATCTGGGAGCTCTCCTATTCCAATAACCCCACCCCCTGAGAACTCTCACCGAGCCAATCAGCGCTGAGCAGCACCAGACACTTTCTCTGTGCAGAATTAAACGGAGGACGAGTCTGGCAGGCCAGGCTACCTTTATCCAGCTGTGGGATCAGGGTTAAACTAATAAATACATAGTATTAATAAATAAAGGTACCTAAACATCCTCCCAGAGGAACTCCTCCTGTTTGGTGATGAACAATGTCTTCTTCAGCATGATGAAGCACCAGGCCAGAAGGATAAAGTCAGAAGGGGAACGGGGACAAAACAGGTCCAGGAAATTCCTCAGACTGTAATCCCATTTATCTCAGGAGCCAGTTGGAAAAACACAAACCCACAAATTCTGACAACTCCAAACACGGATGAAGAACGAGCTCCATCAGTCAGGATCTTGACAAGAGGTCAACAGAATAACAAACATTGCCAGTAAATAAATCAAAAGCCACCAGTAAAACGGTTGTTTGGTTAATAAAACAAACAGGTGTTGGTTATGTTGCTGCCCCCCCTTCTGAACATTCTGGCATACAGCTGAGCCCAAAACCCCACATTTGAAATTCCTGAGTTATTGGTCCACAGCGGTGACAGTGGCTGTGCTGGTTATGTGAGATTGGCACAAACAAGAGAGCTGCCATCACGGGGCTTGAATTTGGGTTTTAATCACAACATAATGACTCGTTACGCTCACCATATAAGATGGTATAATACGTCTGAGCTCGCTCTAACTGGTGCTCATATTTTCTAACATGACCAGGTGGTTTTGCTTTTGAATGAAGCAACGGATGCAGGAGTGATGGTTGTGATGAACGTGGGCGAACAAAGAATGATCGAGAAGTAAAGCAGCTTCACCCACGCTCATCACCTCTGTGGTGCACAAAGGCACAGAGAGAGCTCATAAGTACTGAAAAGAAGAATAAACCTGAAGGAGAAAATAGGAAAGGGTTCAACAGAGTATTTTATAATCATTTGATCGATTGACCTGATTGATTTTTGCTCCTCAAAGTTTATATACCCCCGGATTAGAAAAGGTTTAGTGACGTTTTGTTTGTTTTGGTCCAGATTCCACCTTTTTCCCCGGCCGCTGCGCTGAGATCTTTGTTTGTGGGAAGAGTGTCGGCCGCCTGGGAGTCCTGCATCCAGACGTCATCAGCCACTTTGAGCTGACCATGCCCTGCTCGGCCCTGGAGATGGACATCGAGCCCTTCCTGTGATTTCCCTTTCCTAAAACTCCACCACAAACCTCCACAGCAAAGTTTTATGAGCCAACAGTACTGCTAAACGAATCTGATTCTTGTTGTTCGGTTGGTGATGAGGATGATTGGGTTGCATGTGAGAGCTGAACTGTAAAAGCATGTTTCTGATATATGGTAACAAGGCTATTTTTATCAGAACCATTAAAACTAACTGGAGTTGTTTGTGAGTCTGTGTGTGAAGGTTGGTGCCTGCCTGCTTCTACGTTCAGGGTATCCGCGGGTCCTTAAAAAGTCTTAAAAAGTCTTAAATTTTCTTTGCCAAATTTAAGGCCTTGAAAATCCTTAAAAATGACAAATAATCCTTAAATACAGTTTCCAAAGGTCTTAAATTACCAAAGACCCAATAAACAAGATTATTTTATTTCTATAAAATTTTCGTGAATTTTTAGTTAGTGTTTAGCATTTTTTGTGTACGATGTTGGCGTAAGCGGAACCGTACACGTTCAGTTGGTTGTGAAAGGGGGCTATTTTTAGATGAGCATGTTAGCTGGTTAAGCTAGTGGGAGCTTGCGCCATGGGGAAGTGCAAGTTTAATGGTAACTGGATGGCTAATCCCACGTTCGCGACTTGGTTAGCACAGATTCCAGGCAATAGCTGGAAATTTTAGCTTAAATTTAATTTTTAAAAATAGCCTTAAATGTGGCCTTAAAAAAGGTCTTAAAAAGTCTTCAATGTGTCTCCCTTAAACCTGCAGATACCCTGTACGTTAAGCTTTTGCCTTGTGAGGGAATGAAGCTCAGTGACCTGTTGCTTTGATTCTTTCAGTGGCCACACAGCAGAAACCTTCCTCACACATGACGTCCCCATGCAGGAAGCCGTGCAACACCAGTTCGTAAAGTGTGTTGCATCCCAGCAGACCCTGCTGTCCCACCCACTGTCCACAAAAACTCTGTTTGGAGACATGAGCACGCAGGTGGGCCTTAAAGCACTCGACGACTTCCTGGCAGACAGAAGCTACATTGAGGGCTTTGAGGCATCCCAAGCTGACACTGCCGTGTTCGATGCCATCCCCTCCCCTCCCCCTCAGACCTTCTGCCACCTCCGACGCTGGTACAACCACATCAAGTCCTTTCAGCTGGAGAGAACGCATCTCCCATCAGCCAAGGCTCAGTTTGTTCTCCCAGAGGCACCTCCCGCCTCAAAAAACGACACCAGCGAAGACGAAATCGACCTCTTCGGTTCCGACGACGATGAAGAAAGCGTCGAGGCAGCTAGAGTACGAGAGCAGCGCCTCCTAGAGTACGCTGCCAAGAAGTCCAAGAAGTCACCACTGATCGCCAAGTCTTCCATCCTGCTTGATGTCAAGCCCTGGGACGACGAGACGGACATGGCGAAGCTAGAGGAGTGTGTCCGCAGCATCAGCATGGATGGCCTGCTGTGGGGGCAGTCCAAGCTGGTGCCAGTGGGCTACGGCATCAGGAAGCTGCAGATCGGATGTGTTGTGGAGGATGATAAAGTGGGCACGGATCTGCTGGAGGAAGCCATCACCGCCTTTGAGGAATATGTTCAGTCTGTGGATGTGGCTGCCTTTAATAAGGTCTGACTGGGGACTTTCTGGTGCTAGCTTAAATGCGTTTGAAACGATGTCGCTGAATCAGGTGTTTAGGAGAGACTTCTTTTCCTCTGAAGGGGTTTTGTACTTGTTTCAGATGTCAAATAAATTACTGTTTGAAGCTTTTTGGAGTGTTCTTTAAAAGTTCACACAACTCCTTCATCCTTATATTAATCAGAAGCAGTCGCTGGCGTCACTAGCTTTTCATTTCGTTAGGAGGTACTCTGACTTTGATCAGCGTTGTTCCTGGAAGGTGTTAAAAACTCTGCTGGTGAAATCTCTGGGCACACACCTTAATGACCTGATCAGCAGAATGCAGCTGTCCATCCGCTCATTTTCATCTGCTAGTCCAGGTCACAGCAGAGAGGCCCAAACCTCTCATTTCCCTGGCAACCGGGACCCGAAGGCATTCCCTGACCAGCATGTATGCGATCCCTCCAACGAGTCCTGGGTGGAACTGGGGATCTCCTGCTGACAGGACAGGCCTGAAACACCTTGGAGGCACTCAGGAGGCACCCAACCCCCCTCAGCTGCTCCTCAACACAGGAGCAGTGGAAAACTGAGATATAAAAACCAAAGATCTCAACATTATGTCTAAACATTAGCCACTAAAGTATTTAATACCCATAGCTCCTCTAAACAATTCTTTATGCAAGAATAAAACTGACACACAAGACAGCAAGAGCATAAAAGCTTTATTCAGCCAGAAAATGGTTCAGCCACAATGTAGTGACTCATTCCTACGGGTTTATTTAGAGTTTTAATTATTTTAAAACATCTTTTGAGAAACTATGGAATAAATAATGGGTCCGTAATAGCTCGGGTGTTGTTGAGTCATAGCAGCCCCAGTAGAACAAACACCCTGTTGACTAGTAAAGAGTTGACGAGTCCAACAGCTGTATACGTGACAAACTTGGACGGTACTTCGATCTCTTTCCTCATCCTGGCATTCTCATCGTTTTCTGGCACCATGTACCAGAAATATAGCATTTGCAGACTCAGTTTTTTCACTATCTGTCGAATTCCCACAAGGGCTACAATCCCAATGAGGGCACGACAAATACCCAGAGCCACTGTCAGTGCTGTTAAAGTAGGCAGGGGTACAGGTAACGTCTGCTGGGGCTCAGAAGCCTGACGCAGCTGCTCGTTCGCCCAGTATCCCACTGAGCAGCCAGCGCACACTCCAAGAATGGTGACGGTGTCCCCTCGTGTGGTGCTGTAATGGTCCAGCTCAGGGTACGTGTAGCTGAGGAAGAGGAGCAGGGTCAGGGCCACAACAGGGGAGAAGGGGCTGGTCAGCTGGAAGCTGTCGAAGGATATCCAGAAAGGATAGGTGAACAAGAGGAGGACAGCAGAGATCAAAACGCCACAGAGCACATCCTGAAAGGAGAAGGGTGACGCGTTTATTCAGGAGCACAAAACCCCCTGCAACACCTGCTCAGTTCATCTGATGAACTTCATCTGGAAATCTACAGAGCACAGAGTGTAAATACATCTCATTACATCAATGTAATTATGCAGAAATTAAAGGGGGACCTATTGTGCACATCTCACATTTTGCATCCTTTTAAAAACACTCAGCACATGAATAAAAAATACCCAACTTAGAAACTTATGCCGCTACAAGCTGTGGACGTGGAGGAGAAGCAGCTCTACTGCGAGCCCCTGCTGGATACCTGAGCTCCTCACCACGGCAGCCAGTCGGAGATGTGTGGGCGTGGCCAACAAACGCCTATTTGCAATATAAGGAACCCCGAGATGGCTCATTCTGGAAGGTACTGAGAAGACTGAAACTGCTGAAATCACTGCATGTGCATATGTGTGTTGTTTATGACGAGTGCATGTGTGTTTACAGGAGCAGGTGTCTTTGGGGCTGCCAGTGGAGGCTTACAGCTGTGCTTTGTCATAAAGTAGTTCCATGTCTAAATAGTGCCTGGGATTCCTTTTATGTTACTAATTATTTTCACTTGCAGTCAGTCTGATTATTTACGTCACCAAGCAGAGTTGGGATCACTACTAAAGGATTTTAAGGACGTTTTTACTCGCAATGCTAGTTGGAGCCATTCACTTACTGTGTTTTATGCTAAGCTAAAGCTAAAGGAGCACAGCCGGGTCAGGAGAATGACTGGGCTGATTAAAAATGTTTGATTTTCCCTCTTATCTAACGCTGGGAAGTATGGCAGACAAAAACTCAATCCCGGGTGGAAAGTCTTTTTAACATATTTTGCCAAAATGCAGTTATAGGCCATGATATAGGAAAATCCCACCAAAATAAAAGCAGGCGAGGAGATCCTCTATACCATCGAAGGGTCTGTTTGAAAGTAAATTAACCATGGATTATTAATCAATGTGCAGGAGAACCCAAACAAGAACAGTGACTGAGGATTAATGGTCAAACTGGTTTACAAAACGTTACCATCACAGTAGCATTAGTGGATCTCTTCACCATCCTTTTGTTTGGCTACTTTTGTCTTGTTGCAGTTAAAGTGTGCATATTTAGTTTAGAGGCCCCACATTTATATCCAGATGTCCACATTTAAAAGTCTCTTTGTTTCAAAATCTTCTCTTTTGAAATTTTTTGTCAAACATTGTATTTTTTTAATAAGTCAGTATAGAAATAATCATACTTTCTTAATTCTCATGAGTTTAAAGTAACAAAATGCTGTGTTAAAGTGTTAAATATGGCTAAATGTTGCTATTAATTTTTAATGTGTTACTTTACAATCAGCGCTTCATCACAGCCTCTGGAGGGGAAAGTCTCTGCCAAACCAGTAAAAAGCATTAAACATGGCGGCTGTCCGCCTAGGTACCAAAGCTAGCCATACGCTCCCAAAGAGCTACAGCTTCTGCAGGAATCCTCTAAGAATTTACGAACAGGATATATCATTTATGTTCCGTCATATTCACAAGGTATGCTTCGTCTGATTTAAATCCACAGGTAGCGTTCGGTTCTTCTGACTGAGTCGGCATTTACTACGGCACATGTGATCAATCCAGATGAAACGTGAGTCATTTGCTTGGTTATTAACAGGACACAGTCAGACATGTGATGTGTTGAAGTCAGAGCTTCAGTTGTTTATGTGAACATGAGGTGACATCGTGATCTGGTGCTTCACTAGCATGTGAACCACCAACAGCTGCACCACCGCCCTGGTCAGAGCAAACATCTTAAAGCTGGAGTGTAGCTTTCTAATCAAACACCTAAAGAGTTTATTCACATCTACTCAATCTTTAAATACCAGTTCCCATTCGCTTCTTTCAAAATGTGTTTCAGTGAAAATGTATGGATAAAGATGGCCTCCCGAATGGCCTATGTTAGGAGAAATAGTTTTTCCTGCTGGTGGTGGTTGGAGGGACCGGTGGCGCCAACGCTCGGTGGCCTCGCGTCTGTCAGTGTGCCCCAGGGCAGCTGTGGCTACAGTGTAGCTCATCATAACCAGCGTGTGCATGGGTGGATAACTGTTTGTGTTGTAAAGTGCCTTGGGGGGTTGCAGAACTCTAGAAGGTGCTATATTAAATACAGACCATTTTACCATTTAACGGCTGTGAAACTCCAGTAACCAGACACAGCGTTCTGCATTGGAGTTGGGTCTATTTGGACTGTCCTTCTTTAGCTCATCAATACTTTTCTAATGGACCAACATCCAAAGCAGAATGCTGACATCTTAAAACAGCTCCAACGTCCCATTTTTACTACATAAACCCATATTTCTGCATTTTGTTACAGGAGCTATTATTTTGTGTTAACTAATTATTTGGGCCATAAAATCCTGCCAGACTCTGCCCCTGGACGCGCTGGAATAGCTACATTTAGCTGCTGCTGGTGACTTTTGTGTTAATAAACCTGTAATACTGGTGGTGTAAAGGTTAATTGAAGAAACTCACAAACATGACATTTTGGAGACTGCAGCTGTTTAAGACGGCAGCAACACGTTTATTTCTTGGCTACAAGACTAGCTGTTGGCGGAAAGTCTTTCAAGGTGTAAACTCCATTTCTCTTAACTGAGGTCATTCAGGAAGCTACTACAGGTAAGAAAGTAAAGAGAGCAAACCTTTAGAAGTTTTACACAGAAACACACTTAAGGCCACCGTGATGTACTGGAGCTGTTATACCTCTACGGCAGGTTTCCAGGAAAAAGAATTCCTCATAAAGACTAGAGGTGTGTGTGTGTGTGTGTGTGTGTGTGTGTGTGTGTGTGTGTGTGTGTGTGTGTGTGTGTGCGTGCGTGCGTGCGTGCGTGCGTGCGTGTGTGCGTGTGTGTGCGCGTGTGTGTGTGGTAGCTTACCAGAACAGAGTGCATGCCAGTGTAGAGACGACTCAGGCACACCAAGGACGACAGAGTCACAGCCATCAGCAGGCCGATCTCAAACTGGAACTGAGAAACAAAAACACGTTTCTACGGGGAGGAAACATCATCCGTCTATTTTCTCTACTTGCTTGTTCCTGTTTAGAGCCTGTTTACCGTTAGGATGGCCATCAAATGTTCTGCTCCTCATCGTCGTCTCTTTTGACTCATCTGTCAGTTCTTCATCCTGCCGGTCATCACCTCACTGCAGCAGGTTTTATTCTCTCTCCATTTAAATAACAGTGAGCAGAGGAGCCTCGTGTATTCATCCACCTCCTCCTCCTCCTGCGTCTTTCCTGTCCTGTGCAGCTGGAGGCCTATTCAGTGGTAGTTCATGAAGTTTTTTTTTCTTTTATGAATGACCACAAAGGATGGCTATGAAAGGGGGGGTTGGTCAGTCTGTGATTGACTGTCGTGACCTCTGACCTGCTTTGGGAACGGGCTGAGTTGCCCCAAGGACTCAGGGGTCTTTTCAGGGTCTTCTGTAACAGCCTGCTCTTTTCAACGTTCTTCTGAGAATGCTCAGGGCACAGTAGTATTCTACTGTACATCTCTGTTACTGATGCCGTCCCTGACCCAGAGAACTGTGTGCAAGTTGAAATGATCAGCCCCCAAATCAGCAGTGCGACAGCTGCAGAGCCAGTAGACTCAAGAGATTTTACACTGGAGCTGTATAAAGGCGGCCATGATTGAGCCTTTCAGTGCTTTATTGACTTGGGAAAGGAGTGGGAGAGATAAAGAGAGGAAGGAACAGAGGGAGGAGGTGGACTGACAGTCATTAACTTAGTGAGTCTATCACAGGAAGAGCTGACAGCTCGATGGATGTGGCTCAAAGTGACTGATGGCCCAACGGTTCAGTCAGGACTCTGTGATGGACAGCCCACATACCAATCTGTCCTCCAGATGCCTCCGGTGCCTCAGTCCAAACCTCTAACCAACATAGATCACCTAGTTTGACTAATTTATGTGCCACGATAAGTTACCCGTAAAAGTCTGGTTTAGAAATGATTGGAGCTTCATGACTTGGTGCACTATCCTGCTGGAAGTAGCCATCAGAGGATGGGTACCTGGTGGTCATGAAGGGGTGGACATGGTCAGAAACAATACTCGGGTAGCCCGTGGCATTTAAACCATGCCCAAGTGGGACTAAATGGCCTGAAGTGTGCCAAGAAACCTCGCCCACACCATTACACCTCCACCACCAGCCTGCACAGCGGTAACAAGGCATGATGGAGCCATGTTCTCATCAGACTCATCAGACCAGGCAACATTTTTCCAGTCTTCAACTGTCCAGTTTTGGTGAGCTGGTGCAAACTGTAGCCTCTTTTTCCTGTTTGTAGTGGAGATGAGTGGTACCCGGTGGGGTCTTCTGCTGCTGTAGCCCATCCGCCTCCAGGTTGTGCGTGTTGTGGTTTCACAAATGCTTTGCTGCATTCCTCGGTTGAGTGGTTATTCCAGTCATAGCTGCTCTTCTATCAGCTTGAATCAGTCGGTCCAGTCTCCTCTGACCCCCAGCATCAACAAGGCATTTTGGCCCACAGGACTGTTGCATACTGGATGTTTTTCCCTTTTCACACCATCCTTTGTAAACCCTAGAAATGGTTGTGGGTGAAAATCCCAGTAACTGAGTAGATTGTGAAATACTCAGACCGGCCCGTCTGGCACCAACAACCATGCCATGCTCAAAGTAGCTTAAATCACCTTTCTTTCCTATTCTGACATTAAGTTTGGAGTTCAGGAGATTGTCTTGACCAGGACCACACCCCTAAATGCGTTGAAGCGACTGCCATGTGACCGGTTGATTAGATAACTGCATTAAGGAGACGTTGAACAGGCGTTCCTAATAATCCTTTAGGTGAGTGTATACATGTACTTTTGTTATTATTTTTCTTTAAATTATTTTCTGAAATGTCGGTGCTGCTGTAACAGGTGAGTCTCCCCACTGTGGGATCAATAACTTCTACTCTAGACAGATTTCTGTCATCAGTTTCGACTGTCAGACTAACGTGCCAAGCTTGTTCAGACATTTTTAATCGGGTTTCCTAAATGGGAAGTTCAACTTCCTGGTATAAACCACAGGAGATCATGTTTTCACAGAAATGAGTGGAAGACTTGAATGTGTAATAAATAATAAAATGGTGGAACCCGTAGCGTTTTCTACACCTGAGGTCTGATTTAAAATAGTTTTAGAAGCTGGTAAAAATCTAATCATTTAACACGTCCTCAAGCCAAGGACTGAACAACTCGTGCCTGTATTTCTAGCTGAGGTTGTTTTTTTTGTTGCATCATCTTGTTCCATCAGTACTCTTGCTCACCTGTACTCTGGAGCAGGCGCTGAGTAAAAGTGTGAAGGAGATGGAAGTGGCTGCCATGGCGTGAGTGGAGGGTAGTCCGTACTCCGCATCTACGCGTGTCTCCAGCTTGATCACGGGTGGTGAAGTGGGCCGAGGAAGCTTCAGCACGTCCTTCATTACCTGGCCGATGTACATCACCAACTACATCAGACAGAATATTTCAATTGACCTCAACGTGTTTCGATAACTTCAGAATCTTCACTTCATAAATTACCAGAAGGAAGCAGATGAATAAAAAAGTTGGAATGGAAGGAAGTAAAACCCATCTAGTTGATGCAAAAACCCAGTCTCATAAATAACCAACCACCTTCCAACTCAACAAGAATAAAACAGAGAGAAGTGAGGACCCACCACAGCGTACAGTGCAGACGCTGCAGTCGTACGGTAACCAGATCTGTCGTAGGAGACATATTCTAACAGACTTGCTGACACATCGTCTTCAGCTGCTGGGGTAAGACGGGGCTTCTGTAAGGTGCAGTTGTGGGTGGTAAGGTGTAGGTCTTGAAGAGAGTGTGTGTGTGCGTGTGTGTGTCCAGCCGAATGTGCAGCCTATTCTGTTTCATGAGATCCCCAGTGGCCTTCGGAGAGGGCGGCCTGCTCCAGCTCCGGGTTTATTTAAAGCTCTGCTTGTATATTTAATGAATGGCTGTCTTAGTGAGGAGCAGAGAAGCAGTTTGCTCAGAGGGAGCAAGATGCTAATGTGTGTGTTTAAGGAAAAGAATAGAAAGGTTGTCATTATGTCCTCTATTGACACGGTGTGCAGGAGGAGCTTGTTACCATGGCAAATGAGATATGAAAGTGGCACTATTGAATCAGTGACAGAGTGCTAACTTGTAGGGACGTGGAGGCAGACAGACATCCCACTGAACCAGACTGAACCAGGGATTTGCTTTCCTCCAGACACAAGGGCACTGGTGAGGAAAGGAACACCGCATGACACTGGATCAGAAGCCTCCTAATCCATTTTATTAACAGCACATTCAGAGCTTTGAGGTATTATTATTATTCAGATACAAGCATTGAGCCATAAACCAGATGAAGCTTAGGTGGCGGAAGAAAGAACCAGATGTGGTCGGTGTTAGCTCCTCCTCAACAAAAGCAGTCAGATGAGGTGTTTCTGGCATCTGATCAGGACGCCTCATCGATGCGTCCCTCTGGAGGGTTTCAGGCCACGGGAAGGAGACCCTGGGACCTAGACCTGGGGCAGCAGTAGCTCAGGTGGAAGAGCGGGTTGCCTCATGATCGGAGGGTCATGGGTTCGATTCCAGCTCCCGCCAGGGGTATCCTGCTGTTGTGTCCTTGGGCAAGACACTTCACCCAACTTGTCTGTGTTAGTGGTGGTCAGAGGGGCCGACGGCGCCAAATGGCAGCCTCGCCTCTGTCAGACCTCCCCAGGGCGGCTGTGGCTACAAGTAGCTTACCATCACTAGCAGTGTGTGAATGTGAGAGTGTGTGAAAGTGTCTTTGGGTGTCTAGAAAAGCGCTTTATAAGTTCAATGCATTATTATTATTATTATTAGACTTGCTGGAGAGGCTATATCCTCTCTGGCCTTGGGCCCTGAGAAGGAGCTAAAGAAAGCTGCTAAGGAGAGAGATGTCTTGGTATTCCATTAGAACCTGTTACCATGGCAACCTGACCTAGATCACATGAATGGATGGCTTTCTAAAATTTTTATTAATTAGCCAAACATTTCTACTGTTCTATTCAATCACAAGAATGAATAATTTGATATGTGAAAGTCAAATGTAACTATCAGGTGACTGGTGTCCACAAAGGCCACGCTTTTTAATGGGTTCAGTTTAAGCTTCAGTTGCGTTAATCTGAACCCACTAGATGATCGTGCCCTGGATGACTGACAGCGTTCACATATTTAATGTATTGTTGAACAAGTGAAACAAAAATGGAAATACTCAACTAACAACCACGGTCTGCTAATATTCTTGCGTCGTGCCCAGACCTCCTAAGATCCTGTGTCCACATATGGACTCAGGCTTGTTTCACTATAAAATCTCATCTTCAGATTAGACCTTTTTTTGTCATTTGGAGAGAATTTATATTGACTGTTTGCATGTTTTTCATGTATCCGTTTTTTATGAGAGTTGACTAATCTGTAATGGTAGATTAGATTAGATTAGATTAGATTAGATTGGATTAGATTCTTTTAAATCACACCAAATATAAGTTCAGGTTTCAGTAGGTTAAAGAAAACAAACTGATTAGAGTTTTGGTTTCAGTGTAAAATCTGGGGACCAGAGACATAACTACCGTAGTTTCATTCAGACAAGCTTATCAATGCTGCATTGTTGGAGGTGCAAACCATCGACATATAAATATTGGACAATGGGTTTCCATAGGCTCCAATAATAAGTTTTTGGGCTAAAATGGGAGGTGGCCACCACAGCCATTTTGACCGTGTCACAGGTTCCGTCAAGCCCAGACAATTCCACAAAAGGGAAGAGAGGTGGAGCTGAGGGTGGGGCTGTAAGGCTGGGATCAACTGACGACACCCGGTCGAACTAGCTACAAGCTAACCTGAAGCTAACCCAAAGCTAACGCAGAGGTGGGAGCTAAGCTAACAGAGGTAGCAACCTAGCTACAATCGGAGTTAAATGTGCACAACACCAGAGCTTCTGAGTCAGAGATACACCGGGCTGACCGCTGGGTAAAACCGGGTGGAACACAGAGGTCTCCCGAAAGCTGCTGAAAGCCGGCAGCCCGCGCAGCTAACAGCAGCCGCGATCAGACAGAGATGCGCCGAGCTGCGGGGAGGGGAGAACGGGTGGAAAACATCGGTCTCCCGAGAGCTCCACAAGCTGATAGTCGGAACCCAGCTCCACCAACATGTCAACCCATTTTCTAAAGTGCAGCATTATGTTAAATGCACTGGGTTTTACCCTATTGCATTTAAATTTCATGGTTAAACAGTACATGTTAAAATCTAAGCTCAGCTCAGCAGTGACCTAAAATACATAAATATAATTTTACTTACTGAAAAAAATGAAGTGGAGACTCTTTGGACATTCTATTAGTGCAATTAATGCCACAGCAAGTCATTTTGTCCAACAATTGCACAAAAAATATCCAAAAAATAATACACAAACACAGAGACTCAAAATCCCGGAGCAGTTTCCAAGCCAGACCGAGGCTCTACTGAGGCCTTTCCACGGAACTAGCTCTGTGGTCACGTGGGTCTGAGGCGGCGGTCACGTGTGTCGGACGCTCATTAATTATACAGAATTTTAGGCTTTTAATACACTTAAACAGAAGAGTGAGAAAAAAATTCACCCCCCTCAGAGTTGTCATGAGTGTAAACTAGATAATTTAAACAAAAAACATGTTTTGGTACCAGGCTGTAAACATGTTTATTTCTGCTGTGAAATTGGTATTTTTAACATGGGAATCAATGAGGATTTGCTCGATTCCGATACCAGCCCCCAGCGGATGAGGGTGGAACTGCTATTTTTGGTACTTCCGGGTTGGCCGCAAGTTTTCACCCACATTGTGGGGGCTTGGTGCAAACACACCGGTCAACAGGTTAGAACCACAGCAGCATGAAGGAAAGACATGAAAACAACAGTTGGTGGGCTTATGAGATAGGATGGTTTGGTAATATTTTCTGAACATTTTCATCAATTTATCAAGAAAGTCTCTCAGTCATTGCTCTTTATTAAAGAAAAATAAATATTAAAGTGCTTCAAAAACACACCAAAATAAAACATGATGACAAAGACAACAAATAAAATAGTATAGATCAGATAATCAAGTTAAATAGCTGTTTAATTCAGGATTTGTTGTTGATTCAGAAACATGTTATGGCAAATTCAAATTTATTAGAGACTAGGTGATGTTTAAAAGCAAAGAAAAGGTCAAAATATTTAAGTTAATTAATTAAATTCTGTAGACGGAAGATATGCTCTGGTATCATACAAACCTAAAGATGCAAAACTCATCTTTTGCATCCTTTAATGCCAACATGTTGGTCTCTTCTGCCTCTATAAACTCTCCAAACCTTAAGCAAAATGTCCATGACTTTCCAAGAGTGTTTGGTTTGTGGAATGATGTCTCTAAAAAGAGCGGTTTAAATTTGTCCTTATTATGATGTCACAATAAGGAAAATTAGCATGGAACCCTCATCGACTGTTGACTCTGGAGAAACAGCAGCTCTATGCTGACCCTCTCCAGGATTATTCAATCTCTTCATGTAATAGCAGCCAACCAGCCTGAAACGGCTCATTCTGGAAGGTATTGAAAATGTCAGCAATAAAATGGCTGAGAGTGATTAATGTCGGAGGGGTTTTGTGCAAATAAGTTCATGAGCATGTTTTGTATCAACAATGGAACTATTATGATTTTAAAAGAAGTTATGTGTCCCCTTTAAAGGTGTAGTTCACTGAAAAAACTTTTAAAAATTATTTCACTCTGAGTTTTTCATGCAGGCTGAACATGAAAATAGTCTCCTACACCTATCACCTGCATTAGCTTCTGATAGAAAATAGATGGTGAAACTCTAGGACTATGACAGACCTGCGTCACACTGTCACGAACATTCATGGACTCACTCGTTTTGACTCAGGACGGGGCAGTTGCTGGTTTAGTGTCCAAGAAACCGCAGAGAACATCTCAAACCGCTAACATTAGCAACCCCACCACATGGCAGAACTCCTCCAGGCTTGTGTTATTTGTGGAGATAAAACATCAACGTTGCAGAGCAAACAGAGTCAGTGGTAGAGTTGTGTTGCTGTTAGCCAATCAGAGATGCGATGCCGACTTCAAATCCTGTCGTCTGAAGCTCGGCTCTGATGTGGCCCACTTCTAGTTCCTGTAACTGGTGCACCAGAGCTTTGTTTCCTCATGAATTACAAGGCATTAGTTCGTACTAGCGGCCTCTGCAGATGTGTTGCTTAATGGAGTATTTAACACCTTTATTTGGATCAGTCTTTTACCACCATAGATGTATTTTATGCTCCCAATAACATCCTTTAAGGTACTGTGCTTGTACCTATAACACAGCATGTTGGTTTCTCATGGTGCATTGTGGGTAGCATACCTAATCACTGTGTATTGATCAGCAAAGTGTTGCTTTTAGACAATGTTTTAGACTGAACGTATTTTGCTGCTGATGGTGGCAGGTTTCATTTGG